CTGTGCAATTCAACACGGCAGCTCTGAAAGGTTGGGAAGGTTAACGCAAACAGCTCCATCTGCTTTCAATGGAACAGTCCTGTTTGTGATATTGGTTACCCAGCAAACTGAAAGCTATTCTCTTTTCCGCAATGAGAAACAGTTGAAAACACACATTCCCCAGCCACATTCTCCCAGGCTTGACTGGGCTTGTGTTTCTGTACGCAGTCCGGCCTTTCATTCCCTATTGTCATGGATGCAGAGCGACTCGTTTTGCTGGGTGTGCCTCAGTTGTCACTATTTTTGTCACGAATTTCTCTCCCCACTTTCCCTAAATTTTGAGGGGAGGGTGGTGGCGTTGCAGAGGAGCTGCCACACTCCCTGTGGTGTGGCGGGGGTGAGGGAGACAGTGTCTGTTCTTTACTGTCTGTGAACCCAAAACGTCAGTGCTTTCAACTCCAGGGCCCATCCTGATTCTGACAGCCACATTGAACAGTCACCAGACATTAGTCTGAAGCAGGAAGAAAGACCTGCCATTCCCTTTCCAAATAAGGTCATTACAACAATCAACTCATATTTACATAGCACCTTTCAAGTCACGAGGTACATTTTAAATAAAGTGAAGCACTACAGATGCTGGAAATCTGAAACAAACAAAGTCACAGAGTCAGCCATGGAATTGTACAGCACGAAACGAACCCTTCGGTCCAACTCGTCCATGCCAACAAGACTTCCGAAATTCATTTCGTCCCATTCGGCCCATATCCCTCTAAACCCTTCCTATTCATGTTACCAATCCAGATTCCTTTTATATGCAATTGTTCCAGCTTCCTCTGGCAGCTCAAAGGGCTGAAAGGGTTGGAAAATCGGAGTTTTAAAAATAATTCGACACAGGAAATTGTCAACCAACTGTTTAAAAGAAGTGACTGAGCATCTAAAAGTATAAACATAAACCTTTCAATCCCTGAAGGAGTTGTGGGGGGGGGGGGGGAAACTGAATTTGAAATATTAACTCTGATTTTCTCTCTATGGATGCTGCCGGATTTGCCGAGTTTCTCCAGCAATTTTCTGCGTTTGATCCGAAGATGCACTACAGAACTTTCATACAACAAGGTATGACATGAAGCCGCATCTGGAGATATTAGGACAGGTGACCAAAAACTTGCTCAGAGAGGGAGAGGTAGGTTTAAGGGACTATCTTAAAGAAGGAAAACGAGGCAGAGAGGGGTGTAATGAGCGAATCCCAGATCTTGGGGCCTGCGGAACCAAGGGTCCAGTGGTGAAGCAGTTAAAATCTGGGATATACAAGTGTTAGAGGAGTGCAGAGATCTCGAAGGAGGGAACAGAGCCAGAAGGAGGGGTGAGACCATGGAGGGTGTGAAAACCACAAGAGAATTTTACAAACAACACGGGGATCCATCCCAGGAAATCAGACTGGTAAACCTTTGCTACACTCTCTTCATAGCCAGAACATCCGTCCTCAGAGGAGGAGATCAATAAACTGTACACAATTAGGCAGAAATCCTGTTTGACTTCTGGAAAGGATGAAAACAATTCCAGAGTCCTACTCGGGAAGTTGGAAGGGTGTTTTTCTTTTTTTAAATTTAAATTTTCAAGAACTCTCAATCACGTTTGGCTACGTTATCTCATAATTTGTGACCATCACATCCTGGATGTGTGACTTGAATCCAGGCCTTCTGGCCCAGAGGTACTGCCACTGCACTAGCCCCTAAAGAAAATAGGAAGGGAGTTCTCCCCAACATCCTGGCCAATGTTTGTTCCCCACCCTCGAACCTCATAGTACACAACGCATTCTGTTCCATTTCTTACAGTAGTGACATTTCACTGGCTGGACTGCCCCATCAATCACATGGAGGTGAGGAAAGATGGCATACACAAACAAATTCTCCTTTCATTTTTATTGCAAGAACACTATTTGGAGGTTCCTTTTGGATGAATGACATCATTATAATAAGCACACAGCTCTCTTTAAACCTCAGATCTCTCCTGGCAGGCTCCTGATTCACTGACTGATTCACACACAGAGTAGGAATTATGTCACTGTGTTAACACAACCCTGGTGTTGGGCACAAGCCAGAGTTTTACTCCAATCTCCCCAGAACACAGACTGCTACTGCAAGTGACGTCCTTTTTTATGTCCAACTGATCACCATGAGCGCTGAATGGTCTTGTTTCTGATGCCTTTCAGTTGGAATTTCCATGGTCAGATACAGAACCATAGTCCTCCCAAATCTCTGAATGCGCAGCAGGTTCTTGGGGACTGCACCAACTCCTCCCTCCCACCCATGAATCGTTGCCTTTAAAAGATGTGAATGGTACTTGCAAGACCCAGGGATCCTTCACACAAAGATGTTAATAGAGGACTTTCGCAGCTGCAAAGAATGCTGGGATAGCACTACCACCATTCCTGCCTAGCTGTCTCCAGCAATACAAAACATTGACAAATTCAACATTTGGGTAACCTAATGTTTTCTTGACTTCCCCACAAACAGAAAGCTCTTCTATTTGTTGTACCAAATTTTAAGAATATTTCAAACACCTCGATCAGTTCATCCCAGAGTCTTCTACAAAATGTCCAAGGTGAGTCCACCCTCCCAGATCGCCGGAGAGAATTTAGTCATCGGGGTCACCAGTTGGAGAAAGGAAGGTCACTGGCAAACCGACTCGCAGCAAACATGGGAGAGTGGTGACCGGGTGCGAGTGCAGACATTGTCGCAAAAGGATTTGTATCCCTCAATTAAACACAAGAAAACAGATTGTCTCACCACAATTACACTGTTGTTTTCGGGAGCTTGACGTGTGTAAATTGGCTGCCACATTTACTACGTTGCAACAGTGACTACATACCACAAGTACTTCAAGGGGCGTATATAGTGTACTGAGCCACCTTTGTGGTTGTAAAAATACTTTCATTTATGTAGACCTTTATTCTTTTGTACAACGTAACCCTCAAAGTCTGATTATCATCCTAGAAAATCAATGGTCCAGCCCCTTCAATGACAATAGATCCTTCCTGAAAAGTAGCACTGTAAATTGAACAGAACTAAATCTTCAGTATAATAGCAACCCATCTTCCTCCTTGGCAATGCAGCTATGATCTGAACTAGCGCCACGCAGGCTGGCACAAAACAATTCTGCTGTCGCACAGTAACACAGAGGTGTAGTCACTTGAACATAATCGCAAAGGGAGGACAGGGAAGTCATCCAGAATGAGCTGCTGTACGCAAGTGTAGAACCCTGCAGCTCTGAGCAGGGTAAGCCAGCCAAAGCAGTCCTCTTGAAGCAGTTTCACGCTCACATCTAGGAGAACAACAGGAGCTTAGTGCTGTTGCTTTTCAAAAGGCCTGACCTATTTGCTAATGGGTTACTTTAATGGCTTTCCAGAGCACAAAACAGCACAACAATAATCACACATAACGACTGCTGACACACCCTTGGCAAACGCTAAGAGAATGTGAGGAAAAGGAAACACAGATAAAGAGTGGGTGGAGATTTCTGTCAGAGTTGGAGAGATTTGAGCATGACATTGCCTGAAAAGCACTTCAAAGTCCCAGAGCGAAAACAGGTGACTGAGTGCATGCTGGCTTTTGTCAGCTGTGGCTCAGTGGGTAACATACTAGCCTGAGTTGGAAAGTCATAGGTTCAAATCCCACCTGGGTGATGTTCTGATGCCAGCTTGAAGGAGCCAAGGGTGCCATCTTTCCAATAAGATGCTACAAACCACATCATATTCATCATTTCCCAACAACTCTTTTCACAAAAAAAGGACGATGAGTTCTTGCTTAAAAAACATGTTTGTGGCAGACAATTTCACATTCAAATCACCCAGTGTTATCCCACCATTAAATTCCTTTCATTATTATTGAGTCATGATGCTATTAGTTGACCAGTACATATAAGCCATCATTCATCACATTCCCAATGACTCATGATGTTAGAGGCCTCCATCAGGTCACATGGCAAACACCAGTGAAGGGAATGCTCATTTTTCATCCTCGTAATAACAGTAAACTTGCGTACCAGATAAAATCTAGACTGGTTTTCTTTTTCTTCTGGCATCACACATTTTACATTCTTCTTAGATGCACAGAAATATACATAGAACTTCAACTGTGCTCAACATGTACGTGTCCAATGCCTGTATTCAGTGCTGTCTTAACTCGCTTCTTCACCAGTCTTTCCTGCACTCACTGAATTACATTAGTTTCCTCAATAGCCCTGACTAAACTTTCAAAATTCTCAGACACGTTGTCAAAATGGCCTGATTCCTGACCATGTCTGGGCCCTCAGAGACCAGTATGCCTCCAGTTCTGGTACACACCCAACTTCCCTACCTGCTCCCTCTCTTCCACACAGTCACACCCTAAAGCATATCTGTCTGAAAACCCCCTGCTTTAATGTTAGGTTTATCACTCAGTAACAATACTTGGAAGCCTTGCTTTGGTTTGATGAGCCTTCCATAGACAAATTTCTGCAATAGGTGTTTTGTAGCATCCACTCTTCCTTTCATGCACTTTCAAAGGGACAAGATATCCCTCAGGAAGCATTTGGAAAGCTCCTTCAGTTTTCAGTAATATACACACGGTGATAAATACACAACACCAAGACGGCATATTCCATATCGAATAATCTCAATATTCTCAACACCATTCATCTGATTCAATTTGACGTGACACGTTCACTTCAGATATCCTTCATATCCCATCCAATTCCTTCATTCATATTCCAGCTTGGACCCACTTCATTTATATCCATCATTTTAAATATAAACCACCATGATCCCTTGATTAGATTCCAGTCTGTAACTCAATCTCAAGTAACTATTATTCTGTTTCAAAACCACACACTTTGGGAAGGATTCAGAAAGTGATCATTAAATCTAGAGAGGAGTCACCGGGGCAGGATTTGACAGACCCTGCATCCTGAATGAAGTGCCCGAGTCCTCACAGGGTCCTCAATGACACGTTCACAGTGGTTGATTTAGCTCAAGTGTTTCCTACCTCGTGTGTTTGTCGCCATGTCTGCCACTTTCTGAAAGGCGTCCAAGAATGCGGCTGCTGCAAGCACAGTGGTCCTGTTGTGAAGAAAGGGAACACTGTTAGAAACCATGGACAGAGGCTGGCACAGGGTGGTTTATGACCTTTGCCTCTATAATCCAAATTTGCTTAGGTAAAAGTACCTCTCTGCTCCATCTCCACTGGCTCAGACAAGAGAGAGTTGGAGCCTGTCAACTATACTCCCAGCTGGTGCGCCAAAATGTGGCCTTTAAGTGGACAAGGGCCCTCAGACAAAGGCAACACATCTTCATTAGAAAGGTTGGGGGAAAAGCGATTCAGGGACAGAGCAGATGGAATTAGTGCAGATATCATTAATGGCTATTAGTCATTAAATAATTAAGAGGATCAGCATCATTAAATTGGCACCAATAAACCCAAAGAAGAACTTGGGGAAACTTTGTTCCCTGTGTGGATTAGAATGAGGACCTCACTGCCAGATGGAGCGGCTGAGGTGAGCAGAGTGAGTGAATCTAAGGGGGCGCTTGATGAATACATGAGCTAGAGGGAGGTGGAATTTAGTGGGAGCAATCATAGAATCCCTACATTGCAAATAGAGGCCATTCAGCCCATTGAGTCTGCACTGATCCTCTGAAGAGCATCCCCACCCAGACAACCTGGGTCCCTGGCACTGTACTAACCATGGAGACACTGTCCCACCCCCAAGTATTATGTAGAGCACAAACACAGGCCAGTGTCTGTGTTGCAGTTTTGTTTTTCCAAAAAAAATACTTCTGATGGAACGTTAATCTCATTACAAAGAGGCTGGAGCAAGAGTGTATGGAAGTTATGTTGTAGTTAGACAAAGCCCTGGGCACCACACTTCAGGAAGGACTTACTAATGCCACTGTGTTCTGCCCAGGTTCATCCATGAGAATACCAAGGTTGAAGAGGCTCCATTACAAAAACAGCTTGTAGAAAATAGGCTTCCATTCCCCCCGAGTATAGAAGACTCTGAGTCAATGTAATTGAAGCATTTAACACAATTAAATGTATTGATAGAGCAAATAATGAGAAACTATTTCCGCTGCTTGGTGTGGGGGCTGGGGAAGAGGGGAGTGAGTTGTGAACAAAAGGCTTTAAAAATTCAGATCAGACTGTTCAGGGTTGATAGAGAAGAATAGTGAGGATTTGGAACTTCCAGCTTACCCACACCTAACTCCCCCCCACCCCCAAATGGGTGAATAAGTTGCAGATCAGCTGTGATCTCATCGAATACGGGAAAAAAGACTTGAGGCTAAAAGGGCTCCTCCTAAACAACATGTTTCTAACTGCTGAAGTGAAATTCTGATGCAACTGCGGCGAGCAGTCAGCAGTGTGCTAAAGGAACACTAACAGAGGGTAGCCCAACATTGTAGAGTTGGGACTCCATGAGCAATGAATTTCCCTATGCCTCCTCTCATTCTGCTAGCATTGCAACTGACAGCGGCTTACTTCCTACCAGAGACCAGGCAGTAAGCCTGTGTATGAGACTGTGACATGCCTGAGCTGGGAGAACATGATGATGAAATTTGGATCGCTCTATTCCTAGCTCAAAAATGGAATCCGAGAATGGAGAAGTGCCTTGGAGAAAGAACTTTCCAAACTATCCTGAGTGCTTTAATAGCAGCACAAACAGATGATCAGTCAAGCTTGAAATGTGCTCCATTTACACTTGCTAGAAGCAACATACATTCAGGAGCAGGAACCTGCAGACAAGAGGAATATGTCCAGGCCTTGCAACTTTTCTGAATTAGCCAGGAGCTCAAGGAGTGTATAGATCCCCATGGGTGTAGGGATTGTGTTTGCTTTCTCAATCAGGGAGTCAACTTGCCCACCAATCTGCACTCATCTCTCCTGCTGTAGAGGTTAAAATTAGGCATTTTTTTTTGTCCTGATGGGTAGAAAATCAAAAGCTCCAGAAACACCCCTCCCATTACTGCAACATTCAGGGATGAAAAATAGATGGTGTTAGGAAACAATGAACTGGAACATGCAAATTTGGATAATTAGTTTTTTTCACAACCTGAAGGAAAGTGGAACCGTGTGGTCTCTTAATGGCTACAAAAGAGCATATCACTTTGCTATAAGCTGAATTCTGATACTTTTGTGCCATGTTGGCACCAGGAGTCTTTTAGGAAAGAGACAGTAACTGCCCAAGAATGGCTTACGGATTGGTTTAAGTACAGTTTATCATCACGGAGCTGAGGGGAGAGAGAATGCAGTTGGGACACAGGCCTTTCAGCCTAACAGCAGCAAAAATCACTCTCTTTCAATTGGAAAAGAAATAACACTCAAGCTACAAAAAGAAAAAAAAAATCTGATTGCAGCAGAGATCTAGGTCCAACTGACCGGCTACCAAATCAAGGCTCTCCACAGTTGACAACCATCTTAGAAAAACAGGAAAGCAAACATGAGGTGGTCACTTTTTTTTCTTTATTCATTCATGGGATGAGGGCGTCGCTGGCTAGGCAGCATTTATTGCCCAGAGGGCTGTTCAGAGTCAACCACATTGCTGTGGGTCTGGAGTCACATGTAGGCCAGACCAGGTAAGGATGGCAGTTTCCTTCCCTAAAGGACATTAGTGTACCAGGTGGGTTTTTCCGACAAATCGGTTCATGGTCATCATTAGGTTCTTAATTCCAGATATTTATTGAATTCAAATTCCACCATCTGCCGTGGTGGGATTCGAACCCAGGTCCCAAGAACATTATCTGGGTCTCTGGATTAACAGTCCAGCGATAATACCACTAGGCCATCGCCTCCCCATGATCAAATCCCCTGATGGGCTATGATTCATAGACTTCGCACCTTCACACTGCTCAAAACCATTTTTTATTCCCCTCTTATGGGTCTCATCCATCCCATGTGTGAATGCATGACTTAAAGCAGGTAAAGTTTTCAGATTATAAATGAATAATCTGCTTTTGCCACATAAGTTTATTACAATAAAAACTTGTGTGTTTGGTTTCCTTGTTAGTTTATATAGCTGGGCCAAAACCAGCCCAGCTTGTCCCCGCTTCCCTAACCTGCCCTTCCTCCCACCTCAAGCCCCACCTCCATCTCCTACCTACTAGCCTCATCCCACCCCCTTGACCTGTCCGTCCTCCCTGGACTGACCTATCCCCTCCCTACCTCCCCACCTACACTCACCTTTACTGGCTCCATCCCCGCCTCTTTGACCTGTTTCCTCTCCACCTATCTTCTCCTCTATCCATCTTCTATCCGCCTCCCCCTCTCTCCCTATTTATTTCAGAACCCCCTTCCCCTCCCCCGTTTCTGAAGAAGGGTCTAGGCCCGAAACGTCAGCTTTCCTACTCCTCTGATGCTACTTGGCCTGCTGTGTCCATCTAGCTCTACACCTTGTTATCTCAGATTCTCCAGCATCTGCAGTTCCTCCTATCTCTAGTTTACATAAGTGTTTTTTTTTAAATCTTTGAAAGTGATCATAGTCAGACATTAACTATCCTAGAGATTAAACTGGTCACATTTCACATTTATGACGACTTATGGAGTAATAGGACTTCATTCCCAGTAGGATCGTCAACGTTTTAGACTAACTGACTGGGTAGGTAACCCATAGGATGGAGTCTGCACTCTACTCCCAGCTCAAAGGTGATCTCTAATGGGACAGCCCACTCTTGCTGATTTATGGTAAATTAATCATCCACATTGAACTGGGTCCAGCAGGGGGTGACAATTCCCCCTCGTACTGACTCACCAGTCAGTTAAGGGTCTGCATATCGTCAGTGTCATCCATCTTTGGTGACTCATCCATTTTGTCCCAAAAAGGTGCTGGGTTTGACTAGGGCAGGGGCACGAGAATTGGCTTTTGTAGCAGCCAGATTTCCAACTTCCCAATTCTCCCGAATCTTTATCTGGGATCTCTGTTGGGACAAGGGTAGTAATGGAAATAAGGCGAGGGCAGAATTGGGCCATGTTCCACTCTGCGACGCCCTCTTGAGCTCAGAATTGGGATGATATCGTTCACAGGCTCATCACATGCGAAGGGATGGTCCATAGGATTGGCCCTGCACAGATAAACGCCTTCAGGAGATAAAGAGCTCAGCAGGGAGAGTTCCCGTCAGTCACTAGGTCACAGATGGAAAATGAACCAAGCTCTTTGAAAGGAAAATAGGTGCATCTTTGTGGGAGCCTGACTAATATTAAGGTACATTCTACAACTGACAACATTCAAACAGGTAACAAAATGGCCAAGGTTTTGTGGCACCTGTACATCAAAACAAAAACAGATGACAGGTAAAGGAGTTCAGACTACAAGAGTCTTACAATGTGATGACTCTTTAGGGATACACCTGAAAGTGTAAAAGGAGGACATTGTAAGTGGGAGATTGAAGTGTGAAGTCATTCAGAGCACAGGGTGCACTAGGCTGGGGATTATATAAAGCACTAGGTGACAAGTGGTTGCAATTTATAATTTCGTTATCCCCTGTACATGATTTATTCCTTTAGGAAGTGAACGAGAATTCTTCCAGGGGAATGGGAGAAACATAGAAGATGGGAGCAGGAGGCAGCCATTCGGTCCTTCAAGCCTGCGCTGCCATTCTTCACAATTATGGTTGACTGTCCAACTCAGGATAGTATTTGGGCAAAATGAGGTGTTATCAAAGGGGCGAGGTGTTGCAAATGTAATGGTTTGGGGAATACCTCTTCACATGTCTCATTAGGAGGAAGGTTGCACATCCCTCTGGTTCGCCTTGCCTTACCTGAGCTGAGAGTGAAGCTTAGCAGCCTTGGCATTGAAGTCCTCCCAGATTGGATAGGAGCCCTGTGGGAAGCAAGCAGCTAGAATTAGCCCATTTCCAGCTGAAAATAAACACAACGGTCTTTTCAGGTTTAAAAAAAGAACTCTCAAAATAAACACTTTTAAAAAGAAAAAGGATGACATATCCGATCAGAAATAACAAGAGAGCGCAGCCAAAAAGATTGGTGCAAGATAGTGAGCTCGAGGACACAAGGGAGGATGAACCCAAAGTCACAAGCCAGCCCCAAGGATCTTTTGTGCCTCAATATTTGGAATCTTTCTGCCGTGATACTCTGCAACAGGTCCCAACTCCCCAGGCCTTCCCCAATCTTTGTGGCCCCTTCGATGCAGTGCACTTTTGATGAAATATTAAGCAGCGGTGCTGTCTGCTACCTTGTGTGTGGGAATGTTAAAAATCCCATTGCACTGTTTCAAAGACAACCAGGAGGATACAGACTGATCAATTTTAATCCCTCAAATAAAACAAAAACAGATTGCCCAGTCATTGTCAGGTTGTTTTTTGGTGGAAGCCAAAGTTAATTGCTACATTCCCAACACTTCAATAGCAGCTACTCTTCAAAAATACTTCATGAACTGTAAATCACTGACACGCAAAGTGGTTGTGAAAGGTGTAATACAAATGCAGATCCTTCTTTTGATTCAAATTTTGAGAAGACACCCAGGACAATGAATCTAAAATCCAGACGACTTGTAGATTTAGCTGAAATTGTTCTGATACCTTTAGGACACCCTCAATAATGTACAACACAGCATGGTATAACTTAGGGAATACAAACAGGAACGGACCTCAAGGTTCCTCAAGCCTGCTCCGTCATTCAATATGTCCATTATCGATCTGATTAAGACTCTAATTCCACTGTCCTGCTTGTGCTTATAGCCTGCTATCTCATTTCAAATTCATTAAATGAAACAAAGTTTGTTGCTCGTGTAAAAAATTTGTTCACAGGACATAACGCTGTTGTGGGCAGCAACGCCTACCATCCATTCCCTAGTAGTCCTCAAAAAGGAAGCTCACCACCCCTTTCTTGAACGAATATGTTGCAGGCAGACCTACAATGCTGTTGGGGAGGGAATTCCAGGATTTTGAGCCAGCAACAGTGAAGGAATGGTGATATATTTCCAAGTCAGGACATTGAGTGGCTTGGAGGGGGAAACTTGAAGGTGGTGGAGTTCCAAGTTTCCAACTGATGGCTTCCCTGCCCTGAGCTGGATGCACTTTGAAGAGCGGGTGGAATTCTTTCTAGTTGCTTGGCCAACATTTATCCCTCAACCAACATTTGCTGACTGTTACTTTCATGACTTTTTGTGGGATCTTGCTGCTGCTTTTCCCAGCAAACTCTGCACAGACTGTGTGGGTTAAATCAGGGTCATTCTTGTTCTGATTAACCCAATCCCATACCAGCCATGACATTCCTGTACAGAGGGCTGATGAGGAGCCTCCGGTCAAAGTGAGTTCAAGACCAGGCCCCTGTAGATCTCTCAATGTTCAAGCTACCACAGGAAATGGGGATACTGCAGGAAAATAGGATCAAGGTGGCCTTGATCTGGTTGATTGGTGGTGCAGGCTCCCAGGAGGTGAATGGCCCGCTTCTTCCGTACAAATATGGGAATTAGGAAATTGACCAAAAGCAGCAGTGGCTCAGTGGTTAGCACTGCTGCCTCACAGAGCCAGGGATCCAGGTTTGATTCCAGCCTTGGGCGACTATGTGGGGTTTGCACATGCTCCCTGTGTCTGTGTGGGTTTCCTCCTACAGTCCAAAGATGTGCAGGTTAGGTGGATTGGCCGTGCTAAATTGCCCCATAGTGTCAAGGGATGTGCAGGCTGGGTGGGTTAGCCATGGGAAATGTTGGATTACAGGGATGCGGTAGGGAGGCTGGATCTGGGTGGGATGCTCTTTGGAATGTTGCTGTAGTCTCAAATGGGCTGAATGGCCTGCTTCCATACTGTGGGGATTCAATGAAAAGATGTTTCCTATTGGAGACTGTGCTCATTCTTTTGTCTTATTAGGATTGTGTGACTTCACAAATATTTTACAAAGGAAATTGTGTTGACAGTAACAATATTTCCCAAATCGTTGTCGAGTGCTGAGTTAGCTGTCAATGGAATATATTCCTGAAGAGAGCAGGAAGAGTCGTCATTTTAAATCCCTCCTATAGGTGGCCGCGGAATGCTCAGTTGTAATTACCTTCTGTAGATTTTATTTGTACATTGTCCCATTATTTTGTACCGAAGCCCCAGTGCTGACAGTCGATGGTATTTGGAGTTAGATGTTGGTGGTATAGGGATTTTTAAATTTGAGCTATTGGTGGTATATGTCAGATGTTAGCAGCTTTTGTTTAAATTCATTAAATAACGAGCAAACTTTTTATTTAATATAAATTTGCTCACAGGATGCAGGCACAAGTGGCTCAGAATATTATTGTCCTGTCCCCAGTTGTTCTCAGGGAGGTGACATACCACCATCTCTTTGAACCACTGTGATTGCAGAGACATCCACAATGCTGTTAGGGAAGAGGTGCCAGGAGTTTGGTCCAGTCACAGTGAAGGAGCAGCATTTCAGTTCCAAGTCAGGATGGTGATTGAGCCATTTCTTTGGGCAAACTGTATTTATTAATTCTGGGAATGTGGAAGTCACAAGCTGGGCGAACATTTATTGCCGACCCCTAGGTGCCAGTGAACTGCCTTCTTGAACCGTTGCAGTCCATGTGCTGTACGTAGACCCAGTGTTGGGAGGGAGGGAGGTCCCAGATTATTTTTAAGCCAAAAGGGTGTCCTCAGGGTAGAGCTGTTAGTAATGGAAACAATTTCTCTCTCTCTTCCCCCGCCCCCAATCAATGAAACTTTGTAGGATTTTGAGATTTGCATGAAATCTTCACTTGTGCTTCTTTTCTCCAAGTAGTCCCATCCCAACATCTCCAGACTCTTGACATTGAAGTCCCTCATCCCTGCCACCCAAACTCATCTCACTCTGACCCGGATGCAAAAGTTCCAGAAGAAATGCAATGTGGAGGAGCTTGAGGTGTAATATTGCGCTAGTCACTGCAATAACCCAATTCGTGAACCTACTTGACAATCTTACATTTGGTTTTCTCATGTACCTCAATTACCTCTCAACATCAGTTAGAATAACGTGGGTTAACTAAAAAGAAGTGGGCATTTACGGAGTTATTGGGGAAGAGTAAAATGAGTAGAGTAATTGCAAACTCAGAGTTAAAAAGCCCTTTTTTGCACTGTGTCACTCCTACCCCATTTCCCACATTTGACTCAAGTAACCACTAAGTCTGGGTTTATTTAGCGAATGGTGTTACATTGTCTTGCAAATCCGGCGTTCAGCAGACAAGAATGATAACAGTTTACGACATTTGTAACAATGAAGTCGGAGTTTGCATATGACTTTTCCTTTTTTTTTAAAACAAGAAGAATTTCCTGCGCAGCCGCCACCAAACTAAAACCATCCAACTTCCAAAAGCATCTAATACTCAATCCCTGCATCACCAACACTGACGCCAATGCAGGCCATCAATTCCATTGCCTACACCCCATTCTGCGCCATCAATTACTGTAGCACCAAATGAAAACATCAACCACTCTGTCAATGCTCACTCCCCATCCTGGCTTGGAACTCCTTCACTATCACTGGGTCAAACACCTGGTACTCTCTCCCTAACAATGCGCTCTGGGTGCCTCTCCAATCACAGCAGTTCAAGGAGATGGTGGTATGTCACCTGCTCGAGAACAGCTAGGGAAAAAAAGGACAATAATAGCGTCTGAGCCACTCGTGCCCACATCCTGTGAACAAATCTCTTAACAAAAATGTTGGCCGTTTATTTAATGAATTTAAACAAAAGCTGCAAACATCTAACACCTAATCCATACACATTCAAATCAACAGCTTGAATTAAAAATCCCCACACCATCAACATTAAATACCAGCACTGGGGGCTTTGGTACAAAATAATGGGACAAAATGTACAAATAGAATCCGCAGAAAGGTAACTACAACTGATCATTCCACGGCTGCCTGTAGGAGGGATTTAAAATGACTCTTCCTGCTGTCTTCAGGAATATATTCCATTGACAGCCAACACGGGACTCAAGACAACAATTTGGGAAATATTGTTACTGTCAACACAATTTCCTTTGTAAAATAT